TGAGCTCCCGACACCGATATTAGTTTTTGTCTATCTCCTATAGAAAAGGGTGTTTCCATTTAAAAGCGTCGAATTTGACCCACCCTGTACAGACGTACTGCCATATCAAGAAATCAACTACGAATGAAATCCAAGATCGATTTATATATTTTAATATTTTTTTGTGTTCGTGATAATTCCTTTGCTACTTCGTCCAAAAACCGAAAATACGGGGCAGGAGGGTTTTGAGGAAGTAAACGGACGAAGAAGCGTTTTGACGAAGGAACGAAGGAACAAACAGTCGAATAAAATCGACAATTTCCCATAGTAAATATAGCATTTTTGGAGGAAGGGACGCGACGAAGGAACAAAGTGAAGTAGCGAAGTGTGAGTATGGGGCTTTAAAATTTTATAATGTTTTTTTTAATTTTTATTAAAAAAACGATGATTCTATTACCCGGCCGGATAGCTGTGGCTTATCGAGTGTAGAGGTAAGAAGAAATATCTTCGTGCATTAAAAAATGGTCATAAAAAAGGGAAGACTTAAGATGGCGCTGTTGTAGCAAAAACCTAAAATTTTAAATATGCGCCGAAAATTTTTAGAACAGGTAATTATTCAAAAGAGATATATATTTGACGTGAAGGCTCGGGTTTCAAAAATATACGAATTTTATTTTCATGTCGTTCACATGAAATTATTTCATTTTTAAATAGGCGGTTCATCTCAAGCCTTTTTTTTCCAGAGAGCTATTACTGACGCCGAGTAGACTTTCTTTTGCTTCTCGGGTGCCACTCATCTCTATCGTTTTAAGTGTTTGATGATCCACTATTGCCAGTACGGGTAGCTTTTCTACAGTGGAGAATCTAGGGAGCGGGGTGAAAGCCAGTTAAAGTCGTATATATTCCATAACGAAGTTTATTAAAATAATTTAAATACGATAACAATATAATCAAGTTTACAGTAACTAAGTCCAAATATACAAATATTTCTTGTATAAAGAAATACTATAACATAAAATATAGCAAAATCGAAAGATTAACGTAAATCAACCCATATACATACAGGATGTCCCAGAAATAAGTGCAAGTATTTTAAGGGGTGGTAGATCTGGTCAAAAGAAACATTTTTTCTCTTTGCCATTTTTCAAATCCAATAACCGAGTTATTTTACTTTGAAAATTTAAACAAAAAAAACTTTTTTACTTAAATTTTGTGAAGCACTGAATCTTTTCTGGATTTTCTTTCATGTAAATTTAATCTACTACCTATGTTGCCATATTATCAAGAAATTATGTTTTTTAACTTAAAACTAAAAAAATTTTTTTTAAAAAATTCCAAATTTTCCAAAACATTTTTTTTCGCTAAAAAACTTCAGAGGCGTGTTTCTGAGGCTGAAAGATATTAAAAATACTTGCACATATTTCTGGGACACCTTGTATACAGGGTGGTCCGACCTGTATTCCAGAAAATTCGGCAGCATATTCTGCAGATAAAAATAAGTGAAAAAGTTCCTATAAATGTATGTCCTAAAATGGGGGGCTTAGTTTCGGAGATACAGGGTGTATAAGTTTCATTTTTATTTCGATTTTTTCCAAATAATTTCTGAAGTAACGTCAATATTCGTATGAAACTTGGTATTTGGGAGTTTTTTGAAATTTCATTTTGATGTCAATATGACTCCTATTTTTAAAGGGCACCAATTATAAATTAATTATAAAAAATATATAACCTACATATTTTTAACTGTTTTGAACAGTAATAACTTTTCGTCCGTACCTGTATAAAACTACTGAGTGAAAAAATGTACATTTCCGTGAGTTTCTACATAAAAAATGTCTCTCGGTAAAAATCGCTACGGACAACCGTTCTCAAGATATATTTAGAATGGAAATAGTCAATACATGTTATTATTACAAAAAATAAACACGCGTCGAGTAGATAGTTATTTGTATTTGACTGAAATAATAAATTTGGGAAATTTTAATTTTTTCAAATTAATCGTAATTTTTTCTCCGAAAAAATGATAAAACAGTTTCTGTTGAACTTTTGTTACACACACACAAAAATTTTATTTAATTTCTTCCAAGAATGACAGGTATTGATAATTTCGATTTCAAATATCTCGAGAACCATTACTCGTAAAAATTTTTACCAAAAGATCTTTTTTGAATAAAAGCGTCGTAAATGTATATTTTTTTACTTAGTCTGTGTTAGTAGTTTTATACAGGTACGGACGAAAAGATTAGTCTTCAAACCAGTTAAAAATATGTAGATGGCGCTCTCTACAAGTAGGAGTCTTTAGTAGGGGTCATATTGACATCAAAATCAAATTTTTTCATGTCTCCACAATTCTTCAACTCCAAGACACCAATTTGTATCCAAATATTGACGTTACTTCAGAAAATATTTGGAAAAAATCGAAATAAAAATGAAACTTCTACACACTGTTTCTCCAAAACTAAGCATTTTATAACATATGTTGTATATGCTATATATAGTTGTTATGAGCACTTAGTTGCACTTCAATCCATTTTTGCTTTTGATCAAATCGGTTTGAGAAGCTTTGAAGCTCTAAAATGTTGTTTCGGGAGAGTTGAGTATTCGGGAATGCTGAGTTATTGAATGTTATTGCACCCAACAACGCCCTAATAACGCCCTTCTTTACGCGTCAACATTTTTTCGACAATTTTATTAATATTTGAAATTGTCACAACACAAAGCGAAGCCCAGTTCAGATTCCTTTTCATTAATGTGAAAAACTAAGTAATCTATGAATCCACTTACCAGTGAAAGATATAAAATAGAAAGAAATTACATTGGGTATGTAGCTGAGTGTAATGGATATTCTCCTTCATCCAACCAAACCAAACCAAACCGAATCGCGCGTTCAGTGCTAAAATAAAGTGTTTTGGTGTATTGTGGTGAATTAGTGTTTTATTTTGTCAAGAAACTAAAATACGATTACATAGCATTCCTATTAAGAAATTAACTCATCTCACATCTACTAAAGAATGAAAACAACAATAATTGTCTCTTTTGTTTTCCATCGACTTCGAAAATCTCCCGGTGTTGTATATGAAATTTTTTACTTATTTTTATCTGTAGAATATGCTGCCAAAGTTTCAGGAATGCAGTTCGGACCACCCTATATATGAAAAAAATATTGTCTCGAGACTCGAGATAATAACAATCAAATAAGATTTTCTATCTTTACAGAAATTACGGCTACATACTAATGATGGTTTACTGTGTTACTATCGATCAAACAAAATACCCTGTTTTTAAAGAAATTAGAGCTAAATATTGTCGCGACCCTGGTTTAGGGTTGCGGCTAGGGACGATTTAATTATCGAAGATTATTGAAACAGTCAATATACAGGGTGTCCAAGTAATAAGTGCAAGTAGTTTAAGGGGTGGTGGATCTTTTTATCAAACAAACTTTTATCAAACTTTATTTCTATATACAATTCAATACAATACATAAAATAAGTACAATACATTTTTTTTATTATTATATAGGTTTTCGTGTATTTATAACAAAATATATTAATGTACTGACACATGCTTTTGCGCTAAGTGAAGGGAACACAAGATGTCACCTTTAACTTGTGTTGCAAAAGCATGTATCTGAGTTTAAAGATGGCGAGTTTCAAGCGGGAGCGAAGACGGGATCGCGATAAAAGAAACATAATATGTTCTCTTTATCGTTTTTCGAATACCTAACCTAACCTAACCTAACCGAATTTTCAAACATTTTCTTTCGCGAAAAAAACCTCATAGGCGTGTTTCTGGGGTTGAACTATACTACCAGTTAAAATACTTGCACTTATTTCTGGAACACCCTGTATATAAAAATAAAATATAAATTTATTCCAGGATTGAATACATGAATTTATGTAGGAGAAATGTCAAGGAATATTTTTTGACCAATAAAATAAACTTAGAGAAAATATATAAAAAATGATAAAGTTACTTTACTGTCTTTACGATACTTGGACGACTCAACTAACTGAACAGCGTGACGTCTTGATTCACTCTTTTTTAGAGAGACCCTAGACTCATTCTTCTTTCATTGTACAAATGATTTGTTTATAGAAATATACTTTATTTAATGCATCGGGTGATTTATTTTAATGATAAATCTTAATAATTCTTGTTCTTGACATTTCTCCCGATCCTGCAAGAGTAATAATAATTAAATAATTAAATTGCAATAATAAATAATAATTGTGAAACATTTTATACATGAAATACATAATAAAATTTAATATTATCTAATGATATAGATAATACATTATGTATTATAGACAATGCAATATAGTGATATAATAATGAAAATAAGATTTAGTGGAATTGTAACTTAAAACATTAATTAAATTAGTTTTCTTGTACTCTTTAACCCTTTACATTAATTAAAAAAAATCTTGAAACCACTTGTACTCTTGGGAGCAAATCTTCTGATCCGTCCATTAAACCTCCTTCTAACTGCTTCTATCAGCTAAGCAATGTACACACTAACTTCTACCCTTACCTCCATGTTTTCCTAATTGTCTGGGCTTTCATGTTGTTTTTCATTTCCGTTCTGTTACATACTGTCCATGTGCTTTCTGTTTATCATAACGTCTTTTTTTGATATTTACAATAAACGTTCTAGTCAATATTTTGGTTATGTCTCCTCTTAGCGTATTTTCAGCTACTGCTTTACCAAGTTGCAAATGGTGTCTCGTGCCTCGTTTGCTTCCCTTTTTCTTTTTTCACTATCACTAGTTCATCGTTGCTGATTCCTCCCGTATTGATGAAGCCGGAAGGCAGAAACACTAAGCGTCAACAAGTAGTCACATTTTACTTATGTTTTCATGGCTAATCTTACTGTAGATTTTTGCCCAATAATTTCGTTTTTCTTTTTAAACTACAGTTCCCACAATAACATCCTTTGTTTATTTTGGTTATGGATATAAGGCGTTGTCTAATTTCTGACATCTATAAGTGTATCCTGGTTATATACGAACTTCAACAAATTGCAACCAATCACTGTGTTCCATTTCCATTCCATAATAATACGAGGCAAGAAGGGCAGGTGGCGTTTTTAACATTAACTTTGCAGGATAGAGCAAACGTGTGTCGCTGGTTGGTCGCTTGTTCTCTGTCTTGGTGTGGTATCGGTAGATCTACAATTTTGAGTAAATTATGATGAGGAGTTAAAGAGTAAGTAATATTTTAGCCGACCATACCAACAGGTATGGTAGGCTATTAAGATCGGCAAAAAAAAGTTTTTTAATTTCACTCAAAATGAGTTATTTGGGTCATAAATGACCTAAATACAAAATATTTTCATGTTGTCTGTATATCTGTCTGTCAGTCCGTCTGTCTGTAACACGATAACTCAAAAACCGCTAAACCGATTTTAACCAAATTTGGCACAAAAATACTGTAGCACCCGAGAATCTGGCCATTAGTTTTTGGTGGTTTGGTTAGGTAAAAATCGTAATTCCAAAATTACAGTAGCTAGCGAAACGCGGTTTTCAATTTAAGATTAGGAATAATATTTGCAACAAAATTTGTAATAACATCAAAATCAGTCAAAGTCGCAGTTTTTGAGATAATTGAAACTAAAAGAACTGCCTACCAACTTTTTATTAACATATTTTAGTATGGGCGGCTGTACGTGTACGTGTACGTCCCTGCGCCATTTTTTTTAAACTAAGCTTGCCCTAAAAAATAAAATTATAATTTTCACTTTTAAAGATAAAAGTGCTAATTTTCAATTTTAAAGATAAAAATAACTAATAATTAATCTATTAATTAAAAAACTTATTAGTTAAAGAGATTTTTTTCCAAAATTTAGCTATATATTTAATTTAGTTAGCTTCAGCAATTACGAATATGTAAATAAATATATTTAGATATGATGTGAGGAAAAAATAAATTAAGGTTTTATAAAAGAAAATAGGGTTTTAGGTTTTGTCTTGCCACTACAATACATGTCTGCTATCTCCTTCCTAATGGTGAAAAATGGTTTACGAAAAGTCTCATGGCTTTTAATTGCACTTGCAATTTATTGTCAACATTAAAATAAATGTACTATCGGGCCATTTAAATTCAACAATAGTAAAGACATATTCACCACATTTTATTTCTTTCGGGGGAGATTCCAATTCATACTCCACGCGTACGTTGACATAATTGTCCTTGTTTGAAATGTACTCATCTTCTGACATCATTAACATATTTTCCACCTGATCTATATGAGTTTCACATGGGAGAGCGTCCTGTTGACCATATTTTATTATATGATTGTGCTTGATTTTGCTATTATAGTAGGTACTCTTCATTATTGTTTTATGATTTTGTTGAGATTTAGTGTACTTTGAATGAACTGAATGATTTTTATTATATGAGCCATAAATATTGTTACTATTTGTAAAACTTGTTCTGCCCTCTAAGTTATAAAATTTATTACAAAAATTACCTTTATTATTATTATATTAATATTAGATTTGTTGACTGACCTTATTGAAATATTATAAAATCCAAACCCAATACGATATTGTATAAAAATGCATATTGGGAAAAATATTTGAAAAACTCAACCATGAATGTTCCAACAATCCTATATCCTGAAAAACTTCCTATAAGCAAGTTAAAGTATGACAATTTATTGTCTACATGTCAGGGCAAAGATGCCATAATCCCCTCGGAGTACAAGAATTCCTATTCTTCTCTACCAGTAATAAATGCACTCCATGCTCGACCCCATGGTAGTAAAGAATCTGTAAAGCAAGTAATGTAAATATGTAAGTAAGAGAACAAATTATAAAGAGGAAAAAACGAAGAAATTAACTTAAGAAATAAAAATATTTGTTAGTTTTTGAATAAAGCATTAAACTTTTGGTATATACGCCTTTTTATTTAAACCAGAATGACGCAAATTGTCTCGTACATCCTAATATCAAAAGGGCGTAACAACCAAATATGACAGTTAATACCGATTTTCACTATCAAATGGTAATGTTTTTATCCTACCACAGTGAAAAAGTCAACAATTTTCGTAAAAAAATTGATATTTTAAACGTTTTTTACGTCTCCTGTAAAGTTTACTTTTTGGTTAATGCGCTCTTCTAATATGACGCCCTCGATATTATTTACATATTTAAATTTACAGGTTTCATCTTCTCGAGGTCATACAGAGTGAGTACAGGTTTAACTTCACTCTCTAAGAATTCTGTAACTTGCGCGGGAACACGACCAATGTATGTTGATGGATCCAGGATATCCTTCAAGTCGTTTACTATTGGAGCAAAGTAAGGATCGGCCCTAACGCGATCTAGAGGATCATTTTCCCTTCTGTGCATTTTCACCTCATTTCCGGCTTCTTGTAAAAGAACTCGAATCTTTTCATGACATATCTGCCTGTCGCCTCCTTTTCTAACCATGGCCATAATTATATTCTCCGCTGACATAAAAGGTAACTCTTGGTTGATCCTTCGTTAGATTACCTTAGGGTAAACAACTAACCCTTGAGTTATCCCTATCGCGATCTAGAGGATCATTTTCCCTTGTGACGACTTTTCTGTCGTTACCCAAATAGAATGAAAAAAGAATCCGTTGCTCAGGGTTAGAGGAAAGCTGGGTTCGTAGGTAAGGCTTCTGACTCACAGTGACTTTCTAATGTTGTTAAATATTAAAATAAAAAAATGATAATATATATAGGCTGCAGAGATTTTAATATTGATGTTAAGAATTCAAATAGGTATGGTCAAAGACAGTGAAAAGGGCGCCACTTACTTTGTTTATGAGAGTGGTAAAGTAAGAAACCAAAAAGAAAATTACGATATCACAACATAGCTAAAATAAAGTAATCAACAGCATTAAGGGTCTATTATGTTTATCAGGAATAAAAGTCAGAAATAACTATCCTACATTAAACATTTATTGAAAACGAACACAAGTATCATCAATTAGTCACAGTGATCCCAATAAAACCGCAAGTTATTTTAAATAGATTCGAATTTAGTAACTATTCTTTGAACTAAGTAAGCTACTTAATAAAAACAGGTGAAATTTATGTATGTCTCAATACGATGATGTTTCGAAACATGTCGTGTACAAAAACCTTTAAAACGAATACGTGTTAATAATTTTCATATAAAATATCATAGCTAAGTAAGAGTGTACTGTACGAATCAAATTATTACTTATAACGTTAAATAAAAAATAATTTTGACTACTAATAAACAAGACAAGTAAACTGTAAGAAATGAAGTTTGACATCTAGCGAATAGACGCGCTAATAAAAATTAAATATCGAAACAAGTGAGCTGTAACAAATGGAGTTTGGTATCTTTGGCATCTAGCAAATAGATGGCGCCAATACTAAGAAATTTAAATAAAAATAGATTTTTAAATTCAATTTTATTAAAGGAAATAAAAAATGCTACACCCTTCCATGCATTTCCACCTCATTTCCGGCTTCTTGTGAAAGAACTCGAATCTTTTCGTGACATATCTGTCTGTCGCCTCCTTTTTAACCATGGCCATAATTATATTCTCCGCTGACATAAAAGGTAACTCTTGGTTGATCCTTCGTTAGATTACCTTAGGGTAAACAACTAACCCTTTTGAGTTATCCCTATCGCGATCTAGAGGATCATTTTCCCTTCCGTGCATTTTCACCTCATTTCCGGCTTCTTGTGAAAGAACTCAGAATCTTTTCGTGACATATCTGTCTGTCGCCTCCTTTTTAACCATGGCCATAATTATATTCTCCGCTGACATAAAAGGTAACTCTTGGTTGATCCTTCGCTAGATTACCTTAGGGTAAACAACTAACCCTTGAGTTATCCCTATCGCGATCTAGAGGATCATTTTCCCTTCCGTGCATTTTCACTTCATTTCCGGCTTCTTGTGAAAGAACTCGAATCTTTTCGTGACATATCTGTCTGTCGCCTCCTTTTAACCATGGCCATAATTAAATTCTCCGCTGGCATAAAAGGTAACTCTTCGTTGATCCTTGGTTGGATTACCTTGGGGTAAACAACTAACCCTTGAGTCATCCTTTTGCGATCTAGAGGATCAGTTTCCCTTCCATGCATTTCCACCTCATTTTCGGCTTCTTGTGAAAGAACTCGAATCTTTCGTGACATATCTGTCTGTCGCCTCCTTTTTAACCATGGCCATAATTATATTCTCCGCTGACATAAAAGGTAACTCTTGGTTGATCCTTCGTTAGATTACCTTAGGGTAAACAACTAACCCTTGAGTTATCCCTATCGCGATCTAGAGGATCATTTTCCCTTCCGTGCATTTTCACCTCATTTCCGGCTTCTTGTGAAAGAACTCGAATCTTTTCGTGACATATCTGTCTGTCGCCTCCTTTTTAACCATGGCCATAATTAAATTCTCCGCTGGCATAAAAGGTAACTCTTCGTTGATCCTTCGTTGGATTACCTTAGGGTAAACAACTAACCCTTGAGTTATCCCTTTCGCGATCTAGAGGATCAGTTTCCTTCCATGCATTTCCATTCCTCATTTCCGGCTTCTTGTGAAAGAACTCGAATCTTTTCGTGACATATCTGTCTGTCGCCTCCTTTTTAACCATGGCCATAATTATATTCTCCGCTGACATAAAGGTAACTCTTGGTTGATCCTTCGTTAGATTACCTTAGGGTAAACAACTAACCCTTTGAGTTATCCCTATCGCGATCTAGAGGATCATTTTCCCTTCCGTGCATTTTCACCTCATTTCCGGCTTCTTGTGAAAGAACTCGAATCTTTTCGTGACATATCTGTCTGTCGCCTCCTTTTAACCATGGCCATAATTAAATTCTCCGCTGGCATAAAATGTAACTCTTCGTTGATCGTTCGTTGGATTACCTTAGGGTAAACAACTAACCCTTGAGTTATCCCTTTCGCGATCTAGAGGATCATTTTCCCTTCCATGCATTTCCACCTCATTTCCGGCTTCTTGTGAAAGAACTCGAATCTTTTCGTGACATATCTGTCTGTCGCCTCCTTTTTAACCATGGCCATAATTATATTCTCCGCTGACATAAAAGATAACTCTTGGTTGATCCTTCGTTAGATTACCTTAGGGTAAACAACTAACCCTTGAGTTATCCCTATCGCGATCTAGAGGATCATTTTCCTTTCCGTGCATTTTTACCTCATTTCCGGCTTCTTGTGAAAGAACTAGAATCTTTCGTGACATATCTGTCTGTCGCCTCCTTTTTAACCATGGCCATAATTATATTCTCCGCTGACATAAAGGTAACTCTTGGTTGATCCTTCGTTAGATTACCTTAGGGTAAACAACTAACCCTTGAGTTATCCCTATCGCGATCTAGAGGATCATTTTCCCTTTCATGCATTTCCACCTCATTTCCGGCTTCTTGTGAAAGAACTCGAATCTTTTTCGTGACATATCTGTCTGTCGCCTCCTTTTTAACCATGGCCATAATTATATTCTCCGCTGACATAAAGGTAACTCTTGGTTGATCCTTCGTTAGATTACCTTAGGGTAAACAACTAACCCTTGAGTTATCCCTATCGCGATCTAGAGGATCATTTTCCCTTCCGTGCATTTTCACCTCATTTCCGGCTTCTTGTGAAAGAACTCGAATCTTTTTCGTGACATATCTGTCTGTCCTCCTTTTTAACCATGGCCATAATTAAATTCTCCGCTGGCATAAAGGTAACTCTTCGTTGATCCTTCGTTGGATTACCTTAGGGTAAACAACTAACCCTTGAGTTATCCCTTTCGCGATCTAGAGGATCATTTTTCCCTTCCATGCATTTCCACCTCATTTCCGGCTTCTTGTGAAAGAACTCGAATCTTTTCGTGACATATCTGTCTGTCGCCTCCTTTTTAACCATGGCCATAATTATATTCTCCGCTGACATAAAAGGTAACTCTTGGTTGATCCTTCGTTAGATTACCTTAGGGTAAACAACTAACCCCTTGAGTTATCCCTATCGCGATCTAGAGGATCATTTTCCCTTCCGTGCATTTTCACCTCATTTCGGCTTCTTGTGAAAGAACTCGAATCTTTTCGTGACATATCTGTCTGTCGCCTCCTTTTTTAACCATGGCCATAATTAAATTCTCCGCTGGCATAAAAGGTAACTCTTCGTTGATCCTTGGTTGGATTACCTTAGGGTAAACAACTAACCCCTTTGAGTTATCCCTTTCGCGATCTAGAGGATCATTTTCCCTTCCATGCATTTCCACCTCATTTCCGGCTTCTTGTGAAAGAACTCGAATCTTTTCGTGACATATCTGTCTGTCGCCTCCTTTTTAACCATGGCCATAATTATATTCTCCGCTGACATAAAAGGTAACTCTTGGTTGATCCTTCGTTAGATTACCTTAGGGTAAACAACTAACCCTTGAGTTTATCCCTATCGCGATCTAGAGGATCATTTTCCCTTCCGTGCATTTTCACCTCATTTCCGGCTTCTTGTGAAAGAACTCGAATCTTTTCGTGACATATCTG